AGCCCAAAGCAGGCATTCATGCAGAAAAGTGGGGTGAAAGTAACCCTGAGTCGATCGTAGGACCGGTGGTCGAAATCTGGATCGCCAGAGGTGGCCTTGGATTGGATTAGGTTACCGGACATATTGCTAAAGTGGGTCGCGGGGCACGTTGGATTAGCGTCTGCTCGACTTGGGCCCGTATGGCCATGGGCCTTCCTGGTTGTTGGGCTGCCATATCGTTGCTTGTTAGCTGGGTGGCTTAGGCTTGTTGAGCTGCCTGGCTAGCAGTAGTTACCGCATTCTGTGCTCGGGTCTCAGCTTGTTTTGTAGCAAGGCCTGTTGCTGTGGTGGGCTGGGCCCCCTACCTCGGGCCTTCTGTAGCACCTGATAGGTTTTGGGCCTCCTGCCCATGGGCTTGGAAGTGGACCTGGGTCTCCTACCTAGGGTTTGGGTGGGTGCAATGCTGCAAGGGCAACGGTGATGGAAGTGGTGTCGTGGCCTGGTTGCTTTACCGCGGTTGCTGGGTAGCCGCGGTGATGATGCAACTCCGCGACGGTGGGGCTCCTCCTGCCGTCACGTTGAGCCTTAAGGATCGTCGTCGTGGGGCTACGTCCTCATCTCCACTCTTCGGTCAAATCCTTATACGTACAGGGTTCCGTTCGTCGTAGTTTCTGAATTTCCAAACATTGTATCCTTTCTCTAGGGATTGATCAAGAAACTTTTCTAAGAAAAATTAATTGATACAGCGTGTGAGAAATTCAACATAACAGAAAATTCAAGAAACATATGTAAGAGGCTTCTTCGAGTATTTGAATCAGCTCTCAATGAAAGCACCTATTTGTTGATGCAAATTTCCACCTTCAGTCTTGACGGAAATGCACCTGCAAAACAATCAACACCTTTGATCAAAGACCTAAGCCTCACACGCCGACGAGGTTGGGGTGGGGGGGGGTTAGGCCAATGGATCTCCGATGCCTAAGTTAGTTTCTCTTAAAGAGTAAAGTGTTTAGGGCTTTTTCGAAAAGTTCTTGAATGCTTTGACCTTTTCTTACCAAGGGTAGGTTGGCTGTGGGTAGTCATATTCTGCTGCTTGGACCTTTAGGGATGTGAGCTACGCGTGGGAGTATTTGAGAAGCCTGCCCATTTATTAAGGGCAATCCTGTCTTTCTTGAACAAAAATCCACGTGTCGCCTCTAGAATTTTTGGGATTATTTTGGGCTCCATAGTATATATTTAGTTACTGCCTATTATTAGGGTAATTACAATTATAAAATACAAAAATAACATTTTCTTTCTCAAGAAGAATGTAGAAATTTATGTTGATGCACGAATATCATGCTCTCTTTAAGAAGATTCAAACCCAGTATGGTTTTACAAAGCCGATGAATGGGTGAAACAATATATCTCTTAACTTGTCCCCCTCGGTACATAACAACCTAATTGAAACATTGTATAACCCGCTCTTAATTGTTGGAGTTTTTGAGGAGAAATTCCCTTCTATCTCATTTGTCTCACACTGGTCAAGTGGAAAAATTTCACAGGCCTTATAACATCAAGTCTTTCTACAAAGTGATTGGAGTGATGGACACTGGAGAGCAAAATTGGGCTTGAACTTTGGGTTTAGGGGTTTGGGTAATATACTTAATTGTCAAAAGATGGGCCTTGGATTCATTAATTATATTTCAATTTCGAATTAATTTTTTTAACGTTTTAATTTCAACAAACTCATCATTTTGGGTCAAGTCTGAGAAGTTCTTAGAAACCGATGAAGCCACACATCCCTTCTTTTCGAAAGTCACCTCCCATCTTCGTACCTATTGCGAACAGGTATATGCATATTGTAAATACATGCATATGCATCTTATTCAGAACACTGAAAATCATTCTTCATACAACCTTATCATTCTGAGAGAACCACAAAGGCATTTGCTAGAAACCAAGTTTTCTGGTGCTAGAATCCTAATTTTGAGTGTTGAATCTTGGTGATGCAGACATCCAGTGAACTATAAGCACTGAGTAGAGACAAAATTATGTTTTAAGGACATTGCGATACTCAAGTCTTGATCATTGTCTTACTTGTTTGATATTAATTTCGTTTGTTCATAATCCATTAATTTATTGATTTACAATTTATTATTTATTAGTATATTCAAATATATATATATATATATATATATATATATAAATTTGTCATTGATTGTTGATTACTATTCAACACTAACAAAAAAAAAAAAGAAAAAGGAGAGTTTTGTTGTGTAGAATTAGTTGTATATGTATAACTCAAGTAACATGGATAATGAAAGATTAGGTGTTGCTATATACACACCCATTTGTAGTTCTTACGTTCTCTCAATTTTCGACCTTCGGATCAAATGAATTAAAGAAGATCAATTGACAAAAATTAATAAGGGTGTGTGAAAGGTAGGAAAAAGGGTGTGAATAACCAAGGTTCTAAAAGATACTAGGTGCTAGTCGGGCGGTGGCCTAGGGCCTAGTGCCTAGGCAGGCGACTAGGCAGATTAGGCGGATTTAAGTAAATCTATTATATTTTGTGTAAATAAGTGATTGTGTATACTTAAAAAATATATAATTTCATCATAAGCTACAAAATAGAACGATATATATATATATATATATATATATTTTTTTTTTTTTTATGAAGTATTGGAATATAATGAAAACATATGGGGAACAAGCATATAATGTGTGTTCATTTAAGTATTCAACAAGTCTCTTACAATTTATTGAAAAAAAATATAATACAAAATGAGAGTTATCTATTTTCTGTCTAAGTGAGTCACAACTTAGGCGGGTCTGGGCAGGCTAGGTGGGTGTCTAAGAGGTCTATGCGCCATTTCTTAATTTTCAAACGCTTAAGTATTTATTGGAGTGGTGACTAACAGCCTAGCATCTAGTGGCGTAAGGCGAGAATTTTTAGAGCAATGTGAATAACACTATCCTAAAGGATTAGGCCAAAAAGTCAACCTAACAACTTAGTGACGTAGAAAAAACAACTAGAACTCCACCCCGATGGACACCCCGTTTTGGCCAATGAGAATACACTGGAATTTAAGAGGAATGGAGAGGATGATCATAAGAGAAATGATGGAAGTTCGTGCTGTATGTACTCTTAGCAACAACCCTAACTTAGTTTAGGTGGCGTATTTTCCTAGTCAATAGGGTCTTCTTTTTTAACTTATTATGTTTTGAGTTCAAACTCTTCATAAAATTTAATGATTTTATTACAAATAACCTTGTCATTTGTAAAAATAAAAATAAATATAAATAACATGGTAGTGAATACAAAAAATCAAAGTCTCTCATGAGTTACAAAAATTACAAGGAAATGAAAGAGAGAGAATCTCCGTCATCCATATATAAAGCCAGAAGGCCAAATAATTGAGTAATTCCCACTGAGAAATAATAAGAAACTGTAATAAATTAATTTAATGTAATTGATATCAATATGCACCTACACCTATATTGTTAGAATGTGTCAAACAATTTTTTTTTTTTTTTTTTGTCAAAACTAATACATCATGTATAGTATGCAAACTAGCAGTACTCATTTATCGTGCATATACATGCAATATTTGATAATATTGCATATCATCTCTTGTCATCACCTCACCAAGGATACATGATCACTCATTCTTGCATTTGATATCAAGGGTGAAGAATAATGAACGTAATTTTAATGTTTTAATCTCAGCCCGTAATCCTTAGATCATATATATCATTGAGAATTCTTCAGGAAAAATTTTCTTCCACAGTGGAATCTAATAGGTGATAATTCTAGTAAGTGTTTACATAATCTTTTTTTGGGAAGATACGATTCATCGAAATAATGAGTCACCATTGATATCGACACATATGAGATCTTCATATATTTGGGAGTTCCTCAATTCAATCAATTTCCTTCTTCTTATTGTTGGATATCTCGTTCGTACATATCTTCTCTTTGTTTCTCAAGCCTATAATGAGTTATGGTTCAAAAGAATCAAATGTTTGATGATTGCATCATACATGACTGAGTTTCAAAAACTTTTGAATAAGGTATCCTACATCTGTCTTGAATTATTTCAGGACGAGGCTCTATTGCATATTCATTTAGGCGTTTGTCACCCAATCCAAACATTTAGTTCAACTTTCAAACCGAATTCATTCATTCCCCTGACATTATATACTTTTTATTCCCTCTTCTTTATGAATAATTGGGAATACATTTATCCAATGGTTCATGTGACAATTTAGTAGTGTAAGAATGCAATCAGAACATGAATCGACAAGACAATAACATAAGTGTTATAACAACAACAAACTCAATATCACAGTTTAAACAAAATAACAACTTTTATTTCTTAATGATTAACAAGAACAGTCTGCTATAACAACGGGATAAAAAACTGATGTAAATAGAATTGAGTAATATGAAAGTCTGTCAATTTTTAATCAATCCAATTCAAATTCAACGATCATGAATATAAGGATGTACAAAATCATATTAAAAACGAAACCAACTGTATACAGAAGTATAATGAATCGAATATTGGCAGTATGAAGAGATAGAGGCTTGCATATTGATGAATTTACTAAGGCTTGGTTTGGTATTGCTGTGCTTTGAAAAAAAGCTGCTGTGAGAATAAGCGGCTGTGAAATAAAGCCAGCAAAGTGTCTGGTAAACTTTTTTGTAAAAGTGCTTTTGGAAAAAAAAAGCAGTATCATAGTGTTTGGTAAACTTTTTTGTAAAACAGCTGTGACTGTGTGAAATGACCAAAAAGGGTATATTACTAGATGTGCTATTAATTTAATTTTCTTAACAAATAAAAGTGAATTACTAAATATATTTTATTTTTAGAAGAAAAATATTTATAAACTTTATCTTAAATATTAATTAGTATGACAAACTACTTTGTTTATCCCGGAACAATAAACAAATGAAATCGCAAAAATATTGATTTTCAAACAACCTTTGTTTAAATGGCAAAAAAACCCATCAATTTCTAGCCTTCATCAATTCCATGGCTACCACCAATTCAAGGCAGAGACTTTTCTCTCTCCTCTCGTTTCTTATTCTAATTCTTCAATCCAAAATCTCATCTGGGTCCGAAACCCCAATTGAAGAATCCACCATTGACGACCTCCAGATCGCTTTCAAGCTCAAGACTCTGACTTCACGGCAACTGGTTCAGTTCTACCTGGACAGAATCCAAACCCTCAACAGCCACCTTAGAGGGGTCCTGGAGGTGAACCCAGATGCGCTTTCCCAAGCCGATTCCGCCGACGAACAACGTTGGAAATGGGAATCGAACCCATCAGCCAGAACCAGAGCACTGCCGAAGCTGCACAGGATTCCCATTTTGCTCAAGGACAACATTGGCACCAAGGACAAACTTAACACCACCGTCGGCTCCTTTGCGCTGTTGGGTTCCAAAGTTCTGAGGGATGCCGGGGTTGTGGCGAAGCTGAGGAGCTCTGGGGCTGTGATTCTGGGGAAGGGTAGCTTGAGCGAGTGGTCGTATATCCGGTCGTTTTCCGCGCCGTACAGATGGAGTGCCAGAGGCGGCCAGGGTGTGGTGAGAACGAGAGAAGGAGAGAGATCGCTCTGGTTTGGATTATGCAAGAGAGCTCTGAGGTGAAGAGCGTGCGAGAGAGCTCTGGAAAGGTGAGAGCGTAGGTGAAGGGAAAGGGAGGGCAGTTTTGGGTTATTCATATTTCATTAAACATGTACACTGTTCACCCGTGTGTGGGTGAAAATAAGCTGCTTTTGGAAGCTGCAAATTGCAGCTTCTTGTCATCTCCTGGTTTTGGGCTTTTTTTCACTCTCAACTTTGAAACAAAGCTGTTTTTCAAAGTTTACCAAACACCAAAAATTTTCATAGCTTTTTTTCATAGTAGCTTTTTTTTTAATCACCTCACTCCCAAACAGGCCCTAAGTACATTTGTGCAAGTTTGCACGGAGGCTTCGAAACCTTGAAGTGTCAGAGTGTTGGACTCGGACACGCCAACACGCCCCGGACATGATTTGGACACGGTCAAAACATGGGTTTTTTTGTAAATTTCAAAAACATTTTGGGGCAGTTTTGGAAATATAGAAACTAAGACTGAAAAGCTCCCTGACCTCAACTTAACTTCAGTCCTCTCTCTCTCTCTAATTTGGCGTCCCCCTTTTCAGTTCTCTTCCTTTCTTTCGAAGCGACCCCGCCTCCTCTCGTCTCTCCGGTTTCTCTCTCTCTTCAGTTCCTTAACTCCCTTTGGCCACTTGGTTCCGCATCCTACGCGCACTTGCACATCATCTAGCAACTAGTAGGCAACTAGCTAGTTGATTGGGCATTGCGGCAGCACAACAACGCAGGAGTAGCAGCGCATGACATGATCTAGCTATACACATCCTAATTCCTATGCACGGGACATGACTCCTCCTGGACTCCAAAATTAAACATTGCACATTTTGATTGGGCATTGCAGTAGCACAACAATGAAGGAGCAGCAACGCAGGACATGATCTAGCAATACGCATCCTAATTCCTATGCGCGGGACATGACTCCTCCTGGACTCCAAAACTAAGCATTGCACATTTGGATTGGGCATTGCATATTTTGATTGGGTTTTGTGTATTTTGAATTTTTGGTTGACTATGTCTATTGCATAGATAATAGTTGTTGATTAATTTGATTGCGTGTGCATAATTTAAATTAGATGTTGTTTAGTTTTGTTCACGTATAATGAGTAGTGCCAAAGGGTTTATCTTCTCAAACTCAATCCTATAATATCTTAATATATGTAATATTTCTTATTGTTTTAATCGCTGGCCGTGACCTTGTTCTTATTTTGTGAGATTTGCCATGTCGTGTGTCACAGTATCTGTGTGCTCGTGTCTGTGCAACTTAGTATTTGTGTATGTTGGTAGGGCCAAAGCCTCAATTTTCTTCATGCTTCTAAACTGTAATGTAATGAATTGGATACCAGTATGAACAGATAGAAGCTTTCACATTGGTGAATTTACTAAGTTATATTTGGATATGCTTATAAACTGGTGTTGAACCTTTCATCAAGTGGGACAAAAAGACTTTCTACTTTTCATTCAAACTTCCAACAAATAGGTACTAGAAAACTTCATATGTGGCATGGCATACATATCACTTCATATTTGTTTGACATATTTGGCAGACAAAAATAATGAAAGAAAAAGCTAGTGTGAAAATGGTATAGCACAAATGAGAGGTTGGGGTATGAAGTTGGCAGTCATATGGCAACGCATCCGTACCCACTTATGTTAGAAATTAGAACCCAAAATTTAAAATTTCTGAAACATTTAAGTTCATAAAAGACAAAACAAATCGCCACAAGATAAGAAACTAAAAACAACATTGATCCTTTTATATTTCCCATTAATTAGTAGACCTTAAATAAAACAAATTAATCCCACTAAACCCATGTGACCACATAATTAAACAATTATGAACAAAAGCATGGTACTTCCGAATCTGTCAAAAGAAGAAACATTGGTTCTACAAAATATCCCTTCATAAAAAATTCTCAATGTCATTTACTATAGAATTGGTTTTCTTTTTGAAGAAAGAAACAAAATTGCCTCAAAACTCCCAAAGCAGATACTACTATGTTTCTCAACAGAAAACTCACATCAACAATCGGTCAATGATTACAGTCATACCAGTGATAATTTGTTGCATTCTTGTGTGTTTGGTGATGGACTCAAAGACTCACTAGCTTCATCAATATCTTGAAAATCATCATCGCCATCAATGGTGAAAGTTCCTGTGAGCTCCTTGGCTCTCTGGCCTTGAAGATCCCAATTGGTTCTAAGCAAAACAATTAACATGGTCAAAACACATGAGCCTTGGGCTGCCAGAAGACCAAGCCAAAGTCCTCTAAAATCAAACCCTGCATAAAAACTCAACCACACAGCAACAGGCATTCCCACAAGATAAAAGCAACCTAAGTTTATGTTTGCTCCCAATGTAGGCCTAGCAGTTCCCCTCAAAACACCACAACCTGTTGTTTGTGGGCAGTTTCCGAGCTCGCATAGGCCGATAATTGGCAACACCATTGATGTCAATGCAATGATCTCCGACTCTTGGGTGAACATGCTGGCCCAAATGTTCCTCACAGTCACGGCAAACAACAATGCTGAAAATCCCAATATGAAGCTATAAGATAGGCCTACGATTGTTGCAAGTCTTGCTCTTTCTGGGCGGTTAGCACCAAGCTCATTTCCCACCCTTGTTGACACACCAAAGCTTAAAGAAGATGGGAAAATGTATATCAAAGCTGTGGTTTGGATCAGAATTCCCATTGAAGCAACTGTTGCTTGAGGGTTAAGCAACAAACCACATAGCAAAATCATGATCTCATACCACCACCATTCTAAACAAACCGAGATACAACTTGGAATGGCCAAATTCATTAGATTCTTCCACCCTTTGAAGCACTCTTTGGAAAAACCACCCCAAGTTTTCTTGTACACACCCGAGATTGCAATGTAAGCAATCAATGACCCTACGAGGTTGACATTAGTCCAAACCCCGCTTAGCGCCACGCCTTTGATCCCGAGATTGAGAACATGAACAAGAAGGTAATTGACGGGAATGTGAAGAAGAATAGCCAAAGCTGCACAGAATGTGAGAGGCACGGTTATGGATTGAGTTCGGAGATAAATTCGCAAGGGGTGCAAAAGGCTTTGAGCAATGAGGTCAGGAAGAGAGTACAGAATGTAAGAATAAGCCTCAGTTGCAATCTCATCTTGTTGGCCACAAGAAAGCAAAATTCTTTTCATGTTTAACCACAGAAACGCAATTGGGATTGAAGTTAAGAAAAGAAGAATGACTGTTCTCTGCAGGGTTTGGCCTAAAAGTTTGAATCTTTTGGCCCCGTAAGCTTGGCCGCAAATGGGTTCCATCCCCATGGCAAGGCCAGAGAGAACAGAAAAGCCTGTGATGTTGGCAAAGCCTATAGCAAGCGAGCCACCCGCCAATGAAAGCTCGCCGAGGCGGCCTAGGAAGAGCATGGAGATCATTGAGCGAGAGTAGAGTAATAGACCTGTCAATACCATTGGGAAAGCTATGTTGGCTATGCATTTGGCTTCGATGAGAGCCAGAGAGAGGTGGGTTTTATGGTGATTTTGGTTGTATTGCTCAAGTTTTGGGCTTTCTGGGATCAAGGGAGCTAATTTGTCCATTGTTTGAGAGAGAGGGATTGCTGAATTGGGTATGTGCGGAAGGATGTATGGGATTTAAAGGGGAGGTTTAGAGAGGTTTATAGGAATGAAAAGAAAACAAAAACTCAGGACTTTTGGACGGCCATCCTGGAAAAGAAAAAAATGAAAAAGAAATAGAGAAAGACTTTGGAGCTTATTATACAGACCAAGTTCCAACTGAAATTCTTGGGAGTTTCAAGCGTCTTTTTATGACCAAAGCTTGATGACAATGTTGGGGCGTCTGCAGGCTCAACAGGGATACCATTCAGTTGCAAATTCCAAATGGACCAAAAGAAGTGAATGTGATGACCTCAATTAAAGGCTCAATTTTTGTCTACCTTATTACTACGAGTCAAACTTACTATTTACGTTTTTTCGTGCTCAATTTATTAAGAGGCATGAAGAACGTTTCCAGTTTAGGTCACTTTTGGTCAAGACAAAGTTCAGGTTGTGTTGTGATACAAATTATAACACGTGTGTAATTATTTACCAATAGTAAATTGTTTTTTTTTGGGATATAGACAAAGGCAACTTTTTATCTTAATTTTGGGATAGAAATAGGACAAACCAGCTATGCACACCATGCACAAAACCATAATTACTAAAATATCCACAGCTGCAATTCATCAACGTTTTCTTCACTTGGTTTGATTGACCCATCAACAAAACCATATTTTTTTTTGACTGTCAAGGCCATAGTCATAGAATGACTCCATGTGTTATAATTATCCTCATTCAGGAGTTGTGATACAAGTACCAACCTAGGCTGATCTGAATGATGAAGATGCAGTGGATGATTGGGATCGTCAAATTTGGATGCCATGCTCAATTGAGTTGGCTTCTTTGAGTTGTCATTGTCGTCTCTCATGGTGACGGCTAGGGTTTCTCTAGGTTACCAAGATCGTTGCTCTTGTACCATACAGGAAAAATATTTGGTGAAATTGATTTCTGTATCATCTATTACATCTTTATACAGGATAGGATCAATTAGGATCCTAGACTATCTCCTATAATTAGGACGCAGATCCTCTCCGGATCTAAGCCTAGGGATCAATAGATCCGGGCCATTGAAATTTGATCCAACGGTTACAATTATTATAACTTTTAGGGAGGCCTCCTGTTTGTAGCCGTTGGATCTAATTTCAATGACCTGAATCTATTGATCCCTAGGCTCAAATCCGGAGAGGATCTGTGCCCCTATAATTACGTTTGCTATACATACAGAAAAGAAAGGAAACTAATGTCAATCAATTACAATATTCCTCAGCTTATTTCTAGGAACTATCTTCAACATTTTCATCGGGTTAGCTACTTTTTGCCTAAGGAATTGTGTTTTCATCGTTCAAGGGTTCGCGTGACACATTTTGCCTGACTAATCTTGCTTGACGAACCTCCGTTGGCTAAAGGCTTCCTAGAGGAAATTAGTGTTTAGACAATAGATGTTGTTCGTCTAGTGTGATTTTTTATTTTTTGGTGATTTTTTATTTTTTGGTAGTGAATGTTGCCTATCAAGAGTTGTTGTTAGTATATAAACTACATAGTGGGACTGTGGGTCGTTACGTTCATTATTTTTCAAAATATATTTTAATAAAAAATAATATCTAAAATAAATAAATTTAAAAAATAAATAAATAAATAAAAAAGAGTCAATTGCCACATGCGTACGCATGCGTGAGTGGCAAGAGACTAGTTTTTATAAATCGTAGCCTAACTTAATAAGGATGTTAGTTGTTAGATTAAATAAAATTAGAAATGGGATATTAATTACTAGGTATAGTTAATTTTTTGGACTGTTTTATTCACACTTTATATTTTGTTGACTAGACCCCGCATGCTTGATACACTCATTTTCTTTCGAATGGGTTGAAATCCCCGACAATATTTCATTGAGGCCCAAATATATGTATGCTATCTTCTCTTTGTGCTTATTTATTTGCTATTAATGAATAAAAATTTATCTTAATAAACACCACATGCTTTCAAATGCTACCCCTCACTCTTCACACTCTTTACAAACACCTCACATTGTCCACTTAAATCCACATCAATACAAACTCTTCCTTTGTTTCAGAAAAAATAAAAAATCGTGTGCTCAACATCTCTCTCAACTCCTTGTTTTTCCCAGTGTCACGGGCCATATGTTACAAACAAAAGAAAACGCCCAAGACATCATATATCTAAGCCCATAAAGCCTTGTCTTCATAGAAGCTTCTGGAACCTCCTGGAAAAATCAAGAACATGGCGGAGTGTTCAAGATAATCTAGGGCATTCCGGAACAATCCACACAAGTGTACAAATTCAAGCCTCACCTAGAACAATCTAGACTAGGCAAGTTGTATCTAGAACTATACTAGATATTTTTGGATGTAAGTAGGGAATTCTAAAACCCTCCATTGAGGAGGTTACTTAGGCCTATAAATAGGAGGCAAGGCCATTTGGTCAAGGCATCCAAGAATTGTAAGCAATTGTAAAGTTCTCCTAAGTTTCAATACAAAGCTTCTTTTCTCCCATCTTCTAAGTGATTTTAGCATTCTCCAAGCTATCTTAGCTTTCTTTGTGATTCAATCTGGGGAAGCGAGGCTTCGAAGGCTTACTTAGCTTGTTCATCGAGGTATTCAAGTCTAACTGCCGCACGGGCGGAAGGCTTAAAGAGTCATCCCGTGACAACTGGTATCAGAGCCTAGTTCGTGAATCACTTGAAGGAAAGTAGGATATGGCAAGTGGAGAGATGGTGTCCGGAGTCTCCGATCTAAGGGAGCGTACTGCCGAGGTCCAAGACGTTGCCAAGAGCAAGCCAAAGTTAAAAGACTTGCAAGCATCAATGGAGACCATAGAGGAGCGACTCGAGAAGGTGGAACGAACCATACTCGAGTTCAATACTCGACTTGATGAGGACGTTGTCGACAAGGAGGAAATCCAAACCATGGTGGACAATGGTAAGGATGAACTGCGTGGCTTGGTGGAAAGGCTACGAGATGAGCTCCTTGGCGCCCTTAACACCATGGCAGACAAGATGTGGAGGGAAGTCCAGGTTCACCTTGACAACATAGAGGCAAGGTTTGTGGCGCTTCAAGAAGAGATAAAAGACACAAGGGAACTTAAGGGAGATGTGGCGTTTTGTAAAGAAGCAGTCGTGAAGCAATTCGTGCAAGGGCCGAGGGAAATCAAGGCGTTGGACTCCAAGGTAATCGACTCCTTTAAACCCAAATCCTATAATGGGAAAAGGGAAGCAAAGGAGCTCGACACATTCGTGTGGAACGTGGAGCGATACTTCAAGTACCTGAAGCTTGAAGATGACGAGTCCAAAATCTCAACGGCAACCATGTTCTTAGCTGACAATGCCCTTATGTGGTGGCGTCGTCGGAGCATGGAGATTGAGCAAGGTACGTTCTCCCTCACCACTTGGGATGAATTTAAGAAAGATCTTATGTTGCACTTCTATCCCCAAAATGCCAAGTACGAAGCCAAGGAGAAACTAAGGTGGCTCAAGCAAACAGGGAGCGTCAAAGACTATGTCAACACCTTCGTGAGTTTGTTATTCGAGGTGCCCAACATGTTAGAGGAAGACAAGCTCATGTACTTCATGAATGGACTGCAAAATTGGGCAAAACTCGAACTACAAAGGAGACACGTGCAAACATTGTCTGATGCCATTGCCGCCGCCGAATCCTTGATTGAGTTTAAATCAAGCCACCAAGGTGATTCCAAGTCCACGGGGAAGAGGGGTAACCATGAGAAAAGTGGGGGAGAACATAAGCCGAAGGATAAGGCTGAGACAAGCAAACCGAAGGAGAAGAAAGCCGATAAGCATGACAAAAGCAAGGGTAAGTCTTGGCAACCCACTTATTACTTATGCGATGGCCCTCACATGATGCGAGATTGCCCACAAAAAAAGGCCCTTAAAGCCATGGCTTTCAAGGAGGACAAGGCCGAGGAGAGTAACGATGCAAGGATGGGATGCATCCGTCTACTGAATGCCATCCAAACAACCCTCCCACAGCCTAAGGCTCAAGTTGAGGGATGATCATTGTTCGTTGACGTCAAGACTGGTGACAAGACAACGCGTGTGTTGGTGGACACGGGAGCAACCCACAACTTCATGACGTCGGAGGAAGCCACAAGGCTTGGCCTCCGAGTCACAAAGGAGCCCGGTAGCGTGAAGACGGTAAATTCCGCTGCCACCCCCATTGTCGGAATTGCACGCAATGTACAAGTAGACATTGGCGCATGGAAGGGAAAAATCGACTTCACCATAGTCAAGATGGACGACTATGGCGTAGTCATTGGGTTAGAGTTCATGGACAAGGTACGAGCCTTTCCCATTCCCTTCTACAATATTTTCTGTATCTTGGACGACGGAAGACAACCTTGCCTGGTGCCATTGGAGAGGCAAGCCAAGAAGTGTACCCAGCACTTGTCGGCAATTCAATTTGCCAAGTCCTGGAAGAAAGGCGAGGCCACATTTCTTGCAACCCTAATGTTGAATGAAGGGGAGGAGAAGTACGGGCCTTTGCCGAAACAAGTGGAAGCCGTCCTTATGGAGTTTGCGGACGTTATGCCTAAGGAACTGCCAAAGAAGTTGCCACCAAGGAGAGAGGTCGACCATGCGATTGAGTTGAAGCCTGGTGCTAAGCCTTTCTCCAAATCACCTTATAGGATGTCGCCACCCGAGTTGGAGGAAATGAGGAAGCAACTCAACGAGCTACTTGATGCTGGCTACATCCAACCCTCCAAGTCCCCATATGGTGCACCCGTCTTGTTCCAACGCAAGAAAGAAGGTAGCCTAAGGTTGTGCATCGACTATAGAGCATTGAACAAGATTACCATCAAGAACAAGTACCCACTTCCGTTGATCGCCGACTTATTCGATCAACTTGGTGAAGCAAGGTACTTCACAAAGTTAGATCTTCGATCGGGATACTACCAAGTGAGGATAGCCCCTGGAGACGAATCGAAGACGGCGATGGTGACCAGATATGGATCGTTCGAGTATAAAGTCATGCCATTTGGTCTAACCAATGCCCCTGCAACATTCTGCACATTGATGAACAAGGTATTCCATTCTTATCTTGACAAGTTTGTCGTGGTTTTCATTGATGATATCGTTATCTATAGCAAGACATTGGAGGAGCACGTCAAGCACTTGCACATAGTGTTCAAGACCCTTCGGGAGCATGAACTCTATGTCAAGAAGGAGAAATGCTCCTTTGCCACAAAAGAAGTAGAATTTCTTGGCCACAAGATAAAGGAGGGGAAACTTATGATGGAAAAGGGCAAGATCAAGGCCATTCAAGAGTGGGAACCGCTGACCAAGGTACCAACACTACGATCCTTTATGGGGCTAGCCAACTACTATCGGAGATTCATTAAAGGGTATTCAGCCATAGCGGCACCCTTAACAGACCTTCTTAAGAAGAACAAGGC